TTTTTCGCCAAAAATTCACGAACAGCGACAGTTCACATGGTGCGTTATCATGCAACAGAAAGCAACTTCCCGGCGCTCGATATTCGGGCCTCTCACGAACGATCCTCTTCCACAAATGTTCCATAACACCCAGATAATATTCGCCATTAACATTTTGTCCCTGTGGAACGAATTCCCGAAGTATAATTCCTTTAGAATCGTAAAAGCAAATTAACATTGTCTTCTCGTGGGACTTCTGGAATCGCAATTTTTTGATTTTGGAGAGCCTGAAGATTTCCACGTAGCACTTTGGCGCTTTGTTCGAGGTTCATACTTGAAGCACCAAGTCCCATCACTAGTTACAATTGATTCCAGGAATGTACAGTTTCGTCTGGCTGTTTTGATAAGATCCTCGCAATATTCAACGCGAGCAATTTGTTGCTTACCCGTGATTTTGTGACACGATGACGAAAGGTTCTGTCGCATTAGACGCTATAAGTTTACAATTCGTTGCTCGATTCCAATAATAATTGTTGTGTTTTGTAGGGGAGGACTGTTTTCAGATAACGTATTTTAATAGATGGCGCTAGTTTCCTTAAATTTATAAAGTTCCGTTACTTTTCCGACATACCAAAATTAAGAAAGCATAATATAATTACAAAAATCCACAATTGTCATAAAAAAACGAACCATTCAAAAATCTTCCACTCAAAAATCTTGACTAGCCAATAAAAAAAATAGCTACATATTCTAAAATATGAAATAATTCCGCGTAATAAAATTGTACAATTTTAAAAGACAAATTGAATGGTTCGTAATCAGTCGGAGTTCGAATTCATTTATTCAACTGAATTAGCGATAGCCTAACAGATAAAATTGATACACTCGCGCGTAACGCAAAACAAATTACAATTTTTCCTGCTCGAATCTCGGAATACTATGTATCACTGTATTATCTAACCCGAAAGAAATATAGTCACTGTTCGTATGATAAAGTATCGCGGTATTGCAGCAAATGGCAGACGCGAGTTCAACGTCGATTCAAGTGTCATCACCGGAAATAATAAACAGCGTTAATTAGTCACGATGTGCGCGAACATTCAATTTTGTTCGGCCATGTAGCTAATGATAATGTTCGCGAGCTGAGTGTTTATAAAAGTTCTTCGAAAACCGCGGTAAATATAGGTATGATACATTGTAGACTTCGTTATTGATTATTACTTTGGAACTGGAAAACTTTGCATAGGAATTAACTTTCAATCTTCAAATTTTTCATTTTCCAAATCTTAAACTGCGGAAGTACCAAAATTGCTTAGATACAAATTTCCCAATTCTCAATCACCCGAATCTTAATTTGACGAATTTCCAAAATTACCTAGGCACAAATTTTCCAATTCCCAAATACCTAAATCTCAACTTATCGAATTCCCAAAATTCCCTAGGCACAAATTTCCCAATTCCCAATCACCCAAATCTCAACTTATCGAATTCCCAAAATTCCCTAGATACAAATTTCCCAATTCCCAATCACCCAAATCTCAACTTTCCGAATTCCCAAAATTCCTTAGATAAAAATTTCCCAATTTCCAATCACCCAAATCTCAACTTGCCAAATTCCCAAAATTCCCTAGTCGCAAATTCCTAATTCCAAAACTCCCAAATCTCAAACTACCGAGCTCCAAATATTCCCTAGTCCCAAATTCCCAAACACTCAAACCTCAAAATACGCAAATTCCCCCTAAAATTCCCAAACACCTCAATAACTCAAATCCGTCCTCCACTTCTTATGCGTAGGAGTAATTTGTCAGACACAGGAAATCGATATCGTGTGAAAACGTTCCTTAATGTTATCGCGACCGTTTCTTTTCTTTCTCTTTAACACGTAACACGTCCGTCTCGTAATTCAGGGGATAAGACAAAAATAGAGGACATTATTTTTAATTTATTCGCCCGGAAGCCCGATGCCCGGATAAATCGGCGAACCACGCGAATCGCTTTTGAAAGTCATGGAATCGCACGTAACATCGAACGTAAGCGATTATAAACGTTTCCATGACCGGCAGCCGTTTCTCAAATAATCAGCGATGCTTTCCTGCTAATTGACAGCTCGTATTTTTGAAAACCACGGTGGCTACCCTACCGTTAACGCCGCGTTATTTAATTCCCGCGTTGTTCGCTCGTAGACATTGATGTTTTCAATCTTTAATCACTTATTTGTACGTTCTTTCTCTTTTATGGTCATTATTTTTTATTTTTTATTTTGGTATCAATTATTGTACACTTATTTTATATTCAAGTATGTAGGTATTTACAATTATATGTAAGTTTATATTCGATATTTGATATTTGATATTTGATATTTGATATTTGATATTTGATATTTGATATTTGATATTTGATATTTGATATTTGATATTTGATATTTGATATTTGATATTTGATATTTGATATTTGATATTTGATATTTGATATTTGATATTTGATATTTGATATTTGATATTTGATATTTGATATTTGATATTTGATATTTGATATTTGATATTTGATATTTGATATTTGATATTTGATATTTGATATTTGATATTTGATATTTGATATTTGATATTTGATATTTGATATTTGATATTTGATATTTGATATTTGATATTTGATATTTGATATTTGATATTTGATATTTGATATTTGATATTTGATATTTGATATTTGATATTTGATATTTGATATTTGATATTTGATATTTGATATTTGATATTTGATATTTGATATTTGATATTTGATATTTGATATTTGATATTTGATATTTGATATTTGATATTTGATATTTGATATTTGATATTTGATATTTGATATTTGATATTTGATATTTGATATTTGATATTTGATATTTGATATTTGATATTTGATATTTGATATTTGATATTTGATATTTGATATTTGATATTTGATATTTGATATTTGATATTTGATATTTGATATTTGATATTTGATATTTGATATTTGATATTTGATATT